TTAAGCTTTTTCTATGCCATTGTAAAAATCTAGCCCCATGTCTAATCTGGTAAAGAGGGATGGAATAAAAGAATTTTGGTTGCACCAAGGCCCTTTAGTCAACAGGGCTAGGACTTTGTTGTCGCAGATGAGCGCTGCTGCTGCATCCCCAGTGCACAACTCCGGTTTGTTCTGATCGTCGACGTATCCGCACACTCCTTTCTCCAAAGCTTGCTTGCACGGGCGAGTCCTATACCAGCATTTTCTGTCCCTGCAGCCGTTATCGCTTAAGATCATGTCGATTTCCAAGAGTGCGGGTTCTTGATGTTTTTTGGCCCTGCCAAAGCCGACAGCCTTGCATTTCTTTCCCTGAGCGATGATCTCGCCAATTTTGCCCGCCCATACCTCACTGTTTTGAGCGGTGTCAATCGGGGCTAGACCGACGTACCGATTGAAATTGAAAACACCTCTTACCGTTATTATGGAGAAATCGTATTTCCAAATACCCTGACCGAAGGAGCACTTCGGATGGACGTCGATCTTAGAAAGGAAACGATACTGTGTCAATTGGGTGTCTTTGGTTTTCATGTTGGCTTTGAACAACGTCCTCGCTCCGGCAACGACTATCATACCTCGCCTGTTGCCCGTTATCGGTTGAGTGTAGGAATTGCGGATCGGCTGGACGAAGGCCACGCAGTGACACCCGGTCATCACCTTCGACGCGCTGATGATGATACCGTTGCAGATGAGCTTTTCCGTAGCTTTCTCTTGGATGCTTACGATGTAAGGGTAAGACGTATATTCTGCAGGGCGTCCCCCGATCATTTCAAACGAAGGTTCGATGTTACTCCTCGGTTTAGCATCGTTTTCCACAGATTGTTTGTCCACGCAACCTATCCCATCGCAATATGTTTCAGCTAGACATCGCCATCTCGAGAGGAGCAACAACAAAAGCACTCTCTGAAGCAACATTGTTATTCACACAAACAATTTCACATTTCCTGGATTAGTCAAAAGTTAACTTTACAGTTATTAAAATAACAGTTCTCGAAAAAATAAAGCATATGGTTTAAAATCACCCAAGTCCAAGACCTGTTAATGGTTTGTAAAACATATTGTCACATCAATTTTATCATAAAAACGCCAATTTTATCGTAAAATTGACAGCTGTACACTATGACGAATTTTTTTTTTCAAAAATATTTGTCAGTAGGTAGGTAGGCTTGATAAATAAATATTGATGGTATTAATATTTCCAGCTGCATTTGCAAATTAATTAAAATTTCTGTTAATAAAGAATGATTGGAACCAACTTGTGTTTTGTTTAATTCATTGGGATGGTTTTCAACTATTGGATAGAATATTTGATTTGAAATATTTTCACTGTGGAATTAAACGAATTTGTCGCCTATGTCTAATTATGAAAATCATAATTTTTTCTTATAGATGATCATTGTATAAAATTTTACTTGCATTTGCAAATTAATTAAAATTTCTGTTACTAAAGCATGATTGGAACCAACCTTTTTTTTGTTTAATTCATTGGGATGGTTTTCACCTATTGAATAGAATATTTGATTTTATAATTTCTCAGTGTGGAATTAAACGAATTTGTCGTCTATGTCTAATTATGAAAATAATAATTTTTTCGTATAGATGATCATTGTATAAAATTTTACTTACATTTGCAAATTAATTAAAATTTCTGTTACTAAAGCATGATTGGAACCAACTTGTGTTTTTGTTTAATTCATTGGGATGGTTTTCAAATATTGGATAGAATATTTGATTTGAAATATTTTCAGTGTGGAATTAAACGAATTTGTCGTCTATGTCTAATTATGAACATCATAATTTTTTCTTATAGATGATCATCGTATAAAATTTTACTAGGTACGAAAGGAAAGGCAATTCAACTCTTCTTCTCTTACGGCTGTTGTTTTATAGATCGTTTTAGTAGTTTATTCAGAAATAAAATATTGGTATTGATTCAGCGATTCGTCCATGTAAGGGTCACGAATCTCAATAGCCCTGAGTACTTTTTTTTTCAAAAAGAGCAGCACATTGGGGATTGATATGAAACCCCGTAAGAAAAAAATTGTATAACCGGTTTGTAAGATAATTATTTTCAGTTTTCACTGAAGACAACATAAAGGAATAAAATTATCATAAAAACTCTTTAGTGTCATTATTCTCAGCCAAACAAGAACTTTTTTTGTTACAAAAGACATAGACATCAAACATGTTTCCAAACATGATTTTTTTTCTTTTGATCCAGTTAATCTACCTTACTAATAAGAATTTTAACAAGTAAGTTGGGGCGGTTTGTAGGGTGAGATGTTCCGTTTGACGCTCCATTAGCCCAAGACGCTAAGAAGGGATGTTTCCGAGGGTGGGCGGATGCCACAACCCTGGAAGCTCGTTTATCAAGATATCTTATATTGTTCTGACATGTTGGCTAACTATTTGAGAGGATCCAATCTCAGACTTCATCGGTCATCAACCGAGCCGAGAGAGGAGCCAATCCTCGCCAGCCGGTCTAGGACGAGGGTGCGTTTTTCCCTTTTTCCTCCCTTTCGGAAGGGCTGACGTTGAAAAGAAACAGTTCTGGTTTTATGCAAATCCGGTTTCTCGAGGGGTGAAAAACGAGAAGGACGTCCGGGTGGAAATATTCTTTCTTTTCAATTCTTATTTAGGGAAACCACTGAATGCAAACGATTTTTTCGTCTCTCCCTTTTACTTTATTTAATAGATTTATTAACAATTCTACAAAAAAAGAACTCTATGACTTTTAATATCAAAAACATTTTTGATCACAGTCAGTCAGTATTGCGACCTTATAAAATTGTCTTTATCTATACTTCTATAAAAACAGACAAAAGATAAAATAATTGGAAAAAACAAGCGAATATACTGGCCATAGAAGTATATGTTTATAAGTCTTTGTGAAAAAGTCATTTGATGACAATGAAAGTCATTATTATCAATCATACTAACTATGCTATTAAATTGATTAGTCCTTTCATAATTTGTGGTTAAAAATGATACTGTGATCCTATTTTTTTCAACACTTAACTAATCTACTACTTTACTTATATGGTACATATACGGGGTAGCCCCAAATCATGAGTGAAAAATTCAAGACCTTATAAGAATTGAACACTGAGTAAAAAGGTCCTATGAACCTGGATCGGGAAAAGCTTAAACAAATATTTTTGCACTTATTTGTGAAATAGTATGTAAGCCGCTACTACTACCATAAAACAATTCTAAACAACATTCATAGTACATTTATTTCAGCGACGAATGAGACTAAAATTAGCCTAATTGGTTGAGAATTATAATTTTTAATGATTTTTCGAAGTTAGTAGGGAAGGGTCATAAAAAGTCACCGTTTCTGACATTTTTATGGATAAATTCAAAAGATGCACACCTTACAAAAAATTTTCCAAACAAACCTTGTCGGTGAAGGGGTTCTCTGTCAAATGAGACCAACCCCAGTCCTCTTGAGGAAACATCAAGGCTTTCCGGACCCAGGTTTTTTAGGACTTTTTTAAGATAATTATATATAACTTTAGGATAATGTCAAAATTGTTTACAAATTTAATAATAAAGTGGGCAAGAATTTTTACACAAAACCTAAAAGTAAAGAACCTCTATTACAAAAATCTAATGTAGTGTATCGCATCAAATGTACACAATGTCCCACTGTGTATTACGGCCAAACGAAACAATATTTATCGGAACTTGTGCGGCAACATAAGTATGATTGCAGTGATGAAGAAAGGCCGGGGACGCACTATCCAAACATACACATGCTACTAAACATAATTTTGACTTCGATGGAGTTAAAATTGTGGCTTCAGAACAAAATATAGGTCGTAGACTTTTGAGAGAAATGATATTTATTCATCACGATAACATGGCATGTAATTTTAAAAACGGATTTGAATAATTTGAGTGTGATATACAGTGGGATTTTAGAAAAAGACAAGGTCTCCCCAAAGATCGTAACAATACTTGCATACATATTTATTTATTTATATATTATAACAGGCTGTGATAACATAAAATCACCAATGTACAAGAAATTAAGATCTTGTTTTAAAAATTGTGGAAAATGATTGTTATCAGTAGGTGATAGTGTGGGGAACCTCCCACCTGATAACGTGATAAACACAATTTTTCTAGTCAAACGCCTGTGATATTTATGTACGTAAAGAATATTAATTGTTAAGTAATTGTTACTGTTTTAAAAAAATGCATATATATGTAAGAGGCTATTAAGAAGAGGTTTTTATTTATTTATTTATTATATATGTATATAGTTTGTGTATATACATATCGTGAAATGTGTAATGTGTTTAAGTTATGACTTTGTATCATAACTTCACTTTTGTAAGTACAATTATTGCTATTTACAGTAATTTATAACTATTTAAATGATTATGTCCCTACGTCTCTGTAGATCCTCTGAAGAAGGCAATAAAACTTGTCAAAAGCTTAGGCGTTGATATAAAAACATTGTATGTTTGAAGACCACAACCCGAATCCCAATCAACATCGTATTAAAGGCTGGTTGATCGCGTAACAAGTATTAGGACTTTTTTACTGAAAGTTCAATTTCCTATAACATCTTGAATTTTTAACCATGATTTGGAACCGTCCAGTATACTATAAATTTGAAAAATCTAACAGGCACTGCGCACATTGTATATCAAATAACTTGCACTTTATTACTTACTTACATCGTGCAAATGGGTGGGCTGGGTAGAAGGACATTAAGAAACTTGCCTACTTTGTTTAAAGTTCAGAATAGTTTTTTAATATTATAGTAAGTGTTGAGTTTCTTAGTTTTTTAAAATATAGACACCTGGATTTTTAGTTAAAATAAGTTATTCGCGGTTTTTCCCAGTGTGATTATTTTGTTTTATGTGTATTTTACGTGTTTATTCTCAGCGTGATGAAAGACAGTACAGATATAAACTGGAATTCGAAGCATGGAAAAAGTTCAATTGCGACGGCAGAAATAAAATTGACAAGTCCCTGTCGGTCGGTAGCAATTACGCGAAACTCCCGACGGGGCATGCATAATGCAATTGTAAAAATTAGTTTGGATCCGGTGTCACGGGGTTAAGTCCCTCATCCCGGGGGAGGCCGGGCTTGACTTTCTTCTGACAAGGTCACCGACTTTACGAGCCGAACGCCAACTTATGACTGAGTTTCGTTTTAAATGGGGCGGGGAGCGGAGAGCATAGCTTTTTCCTCGAGCAACAGACGGACTGACAAGCTTCACTGGATGGTTTATTATTCAAGACTCGATCGGGAAGTTCGCACAAGGGCGGAACGTTAATAATAAACAAGGGTAATTCTGCCTGGCTCTTTCGCGTTTTCTTAATGTGGAAACTTTTTTGTTTGGAACGTTTAACCAACTTTTGGGTATGTTTTTCCATGAGGAAAGGCGTGTATGACATTGTTCAACTTCAGAGTTGATCCAATCCACCCACCTTAAATTTTATAAAAAAACAAAATGTTCAGAAATTCTTTTGGAGTTAAGGACACATTAAATTTAATGATAATGAATAATACAAATATCAAAAAAATTATTCCATATTGGTTCTTGATAAGTTTTTGGTAGGATCGACCAACATTTTTACTATTGTATGTGTGACTTACTTTATTTAATATCATCCATCAATGGTAAATACACATTTCAGTACACTGATAGACAAACATGATTCGTTCTATATATTTGTCGATGTGGATTAAATAATTCGATCTTTATTGAGACATCTTCAGGGCTAAAAGTGTTTGTCTTCTGTGTAATTGTGCCATTCTTGCGTGTCGTATTGAGAGTGCCCTCTACACAGAAGACAAACACTTTGAGCCCTGAAGATGATCTCAATAAAGATCGAAACGTTGGCACGATAAAGAAAATGTTTTTCTGAAACCTACATCACACCAGACCGCAT